TCTTGTTGCAGCTGTCAGACACCTGAAAACTGAAGCTGAGTGGCAGGAACTCTTGGACAAAGTGAGAGAGGAGGAGGAAGAGCCCCTGCCGTCCTACTTGTTTAAGGTGAGCGCAGGCGTCTCTGCCCTCGGTGAGAGCAGCCATGTGGGTGGGCGTGGGGTGCTCGCTCTCGTTCTGGAGGAGGGTGGGGGAGGCTTTCAGGCGACTGTCTTCCTTCCCTTCCTGCAGCAGTGGAGGTTTGATTCCGAGTTCCCTCGGGAGCAGACTGAACCGTTTCTTCTGGGCTCTGAACTGCAAGACTTTCTTGTTTTTCTGTTTGTTCCTCATCTCCCTTGTATTCAAGATGTAGGGAGTGAGTGTGCTTTCACAAAGACTGTGTGTGCACGCGTGTGCGCGTGTGTGAAATGCTGGGAGGAGGTCATTCACCAGCAGTTGCACCAGTGGAACCACCTCACTGGCTCAGAGCACCGAGCATCAGCTGTGTCTGAATGCCGAGTTCGTGTGGAGACACTGCTCTCACCACCTGCCTCCTGGTGTTTGCATTCAGGACAAACGGACCATCGGCACTCACGCTTTCTCTGTGAACATGAAATTGGAAGCCGTGGATCCCCAGTCTCCTTTCGGGATCTCTCCCGCTACGGTTGTTAAGGTACAGTGAGGACTTGGGCCCCGTCAGGCATCCCAGGGGTAAGGGCACAATCATGGGGGCAGGCCCACAAGGACCAGGAGGGAGAGCACGTGGCAGCCCCTGAACAATGTGGAGGCAGGCAGTGTCCCTGGCACCCAGCGGCGCTGTGTGCACGGAGCACGGAGGAGCACCTAGGCAGGGCAAGAGGGGTGGGGCAGCAGAGCAGCTCCAGGCTGGAGTCTGGAGGCAGGCTTCAGAGGCCTGGCAAAAGTGCAGCAGGTCGCCCAATGCCTAGTAACCACAAGAGCCAGGCAGGACCGCCAGGCCGAGCCCTGCACCTATTTGCACTGAGGCGCAGAGGAGGGGAGCTCAGTGTAGGGGCCAGAGCAGGAGCCCACTAACTGCAAAGCTAGCATTTGGTTCGTGTAATCGAGACCCAGCCTAGCTATGCAGAGGGGACAGTGCGGGGCAGGGGGCGGGGGGCTCCCCTGTTTACAGAAAGATGTGAGGCCCCACTGCTGCTCTGCCGTGGGGTCAGCTGGACAGCCCTGACGGCTGTGGGTCAGCAGCACTGGTAGCGCAGGTGTGTAAGTGTCGGGCTGCTAACTGACGATGAAGCGGTGTAAACCCACCAACTGCTCCGAGGGGGAAAGCCAGGGCAGTCGGCTCTGCTGCTCTCATGGTCTCACTCTGCCTGGGGATCGACTTGGGGGCCACGAGTTTGATCTGGTTTGGTTGGGAGCTGTGAACCTGGCTAGTATGCGTGGCTCCGTCGAGAGAGAGGCCCCGTGCGTGTGTGCACGCGCATGTTTGTCCACGCCGTCTGTCCCACTCTGTGCGCAGGTCTTTGATGAGAAGTACTTCCTGGTGGAAATGGATGACCTGCGGCCGGAGCCGCACCCCCGGCGCTCCTTCGTGTGCCACGCGGACAGCCCTGGCCTCTTCCCCGTGCAGTGGAGTCTGAAGAACGGCGTGCACATCACCCCCCCTCCAGGTGCGCACCCAACCCAGCTACGTGCCTGGTTGATGCCTGGACCTGAGATGGGCCAGCTGGAGCTGTCCGGATCCTCCGTCCTCTTTCATGCCTGCCTGGGCCCGAAAAGTGTAAATGAGCCTCGGGTGCCAAACATTTACCTGCTTAAAAGCTCTAAACCGGGTTAGGACACTGCTAGATAAAGCACATTCACCGCAGCAAATGCAACTTCGTCAGACCTGCGAGGGCAGGCTCACGCCTGGGGTTCCGCTGGGCTGGTTCGTTCCCTCTCCTGCCTGGCTTGGCACTCCTGGTGCGTCTTGGGAAGGGGTATGGGCAAGGGGGCCCGACTATTAGAACTCTCAGCTTTCTGGACCCCCTCTGAGACGTTGACGTTGTGTCTTCAGAGGGAGCCTTGTGACCAAGAGTGGGACTCAGGAAGCTGGGAATAGGGCCCGTTCCTGTTGTCTGTCATTTTGTAAAAGACCATCCCGGCCCGTACATCATCAGGTCAAAGGTGAGGGTCTTCCCTCTTGTGGAGAGCCAATCTCAGAGGCCCACAGGGGCAATGCTGCCCCGTCCCTATGAGCAGGCTCCCTGAGAGTCAGCATTGACCAGGGGCAGCGGGTTTTTCCTTTTGAGTGTAGTCCAGGCTCTAAAATGTAACTTAGTTGGACTTGACTGGAACATTTTGAAACGATTTTAACTTACAAGCATCTGAATGTTTATCAACTTTTCATATCAGCCAGTCAGATGATTGGATCGACAATCTGCTGGCACTAGGTTAGGCGACTTTGGCTGAAACCTGTCCTCACTGTGTAAACGGTGCCTGCCGGCTGCTGGGCTGGACGTGCTCTTTTGTGCTAACAGGTTCTAGTGTCAGGCCTTGTGCCTTCATTCACCCTGCAGACGAGGGCTGAGTGTGTGCTGTCCGCGAGCCAGGGCTGGCCTTGTTGCTGGGGCACGTTCTGGAGGACGTCCCAGGCTCCTGTCCCAGGGAGCTGTGGCACCACGCAGGAGGATGTGCGTGGTCTGCTGGGAGCCTGTGGCACCACGCAGGAGGACGTGCGTGGTCTGCTGGGAGCCTGTGGCACCGTGCAGGAGGACGTGCGTGGTCTGCTGGGAGGCTGTGGCACCGCGCAGGAGGACGTGCGTGGTCTGCTGGGAGCTGTGGCACCGTGCAGGAGGACGTGCGTGGTCTGCTGGGAGCTGTGGCACCACCCAGGAGGACATGCGTGGTCTGCTGGGAGCCTGTGGCACCACGCAGGAGGACGTGCATGGTCTGCTGGGAGCCTGTGGCACCACGCAGGAGGACGTGCGTGGTCTGCTGGGAGGCTCTGGACACTTGTGCTGGGGGGACCCCTGTGTGGAAGGGGAAGCCCATCGTTGAAGATGAGGAAGGTTTGGGCATTGCCACAGACAACTCCGTGGCTGTCTTTGTAGCAGAGGGAAGGTCGTGGCTCTGTCACTGACGATCACTTGCTTTCAGGAATCGGGGTGGAGAGCAGCTTGAGCTGGGTGGGGGAGGTGCTTGCAGGAGTGCCTGGGCTGCAGGTTGTTGCCGTCTTGAGCAGGTGACTCTGTGTCTGAGACATGGGCTGGGCAGGGCAAGGGCAGCTCAGACACTGGTGGGCCGGCCCAGCTGCCTGCACGCAGCAGTGCCGAGTCAGGGAATGGGATCGGGATGCTCCCATCAGGAGCCTCCCAGAGCTAAGCTGGAGATTTAGCTGCACCTGCCAAGTCCGGCTGTGCTATCTTAAGATGCTTCTGGGAAATTGTGTGAAGCTGATCATGTAGAATATTGCTTAAGATGTGTGTGTGCCTTGTTTGATGAAACCTTGAGATGTGTCCAGGGAATTTTATTCTGGTGTGATGGTTTGACCGTGTTATTCCGGGTTGCTGGGCTTTACAAAACTCCCAGTGCTTTAGATGTGTAGGACGAGGTTCTCCCTCTAAGACGCGCTGGTGGTACAGTGGTTAAGGCTCGCACGCAGCCCGCAGCTGCGGGAGAACAGGCCTCACGGATGACTTTCATGAAGACCGCAGCCTCGGGAACCCTGGGCCAGGTTCTCCTCTGCCCTGCAGGGCTGCTGGGGGTCGTGGACTGCAGGTCGAGCTGCTGTCCATTAGGTCAGTGGTTCGAAGCCACCCACTGCTCCGTGGGAGAAAGACGAGTCTGGCTGCTGCTGTGAAGCCTCGTGAACCCACAGGGGCCGCACTTCTCTGTCCCATAAGGTGGGCTGGGCCGGCTAGCTGGAATCCACTGGATGGTGGCAGCCTCTTCTCCCTGCGCAAGCAGCAAAGGCCTCTGACAAACGGGCAGAGCTGGAAGTTGTGGGTGAAGCCGGAGTGGCAGGTGCTTCGGGTGTGGCTCACTGTCGTTCCCTCCCACCTAGGCTGCCCGAGCCAGGACTTCACCTGGGCCGACTACCTCAAACAGTGTGGTGCTGAAGCTGCTCCCCAGAGGTGCTTCCCTGCGGTGAGAGCCCGTCCCCGCTTCCTCTGCCTCTCAGGACAGGATTGTTGCTGCGGGGTGACCAGTTAGCACGTGGGGGTTGTAGGGAGAAGCCCACCTCCAGTATCAGTTACTCTGTTAGTTCCTAGACGCTGACCTGCCAGCTCAGAACTGCTGTGGAAAAACACCACAACATGAAGGGGAAGAAACATCATCAGACCTCTTGTCGTTGCACCCATCCAAATGGCAGCGTGTGAGGCCGGGGCGCAGAGTTACACCTTGGCTGTGGACCCCAGGCCACAGTCGGAAACCACAGCCATTCTGCGCGAGGGGGGCGGGGCTTTCCTTTCCCATGCGTGGGTACAGTCTGGGAGCCCCCGACCCCCCACCCCAGGCAGTTCTGCCCTGTCCTGTAGGGTGGCCAGGAGTGCCCACCCGCTCAGTGGGTAGTGTGAGCCCAGAGGAAGGCCATGCAGAGGTCAGGCTGGCACGGTGGCTACCACAGGGGGCTCGAACGTAGCAGTGGTTGTAGGCTGGTGCAGGACCAAGCAGTGGCTCATTATGGGCTGCTGTGGGCACTTAACCGCAGCACCCCCTGCCCTCAAAGACTGTACTGCCTGCAGCACCTCAGGACAGGGCTGTTTTCCCATGAGGTGACCGGGTACCCAAGCAGCATGCGAGGGCAGCTTCAGAGCGTGCGGGCGGGGCTGAGTGGGACTTGAGGGCGTGGGCCTCACGGGTCCATGTCCTGTCCCCAGTCCACTTGGGAGCACGAGTTTAAGGAGAACATGAAGCTGGAGGCGGTGAACCCCCTGCTGCGAGAGGAGGTGTGTGTGGCCACCATCAGGAGCGTGAGGGGCGCCTACCTGTGGCTTCAGCTGGAGGGTAAGCACAGCTCTGGGGAGGCCTGCCTGGGGCACTTCCTTGGCTTTCCTTGGGTGGGGTGGGGGGGCTGCTAGCAGGGAGGCTGGCGTCCCCAATCCGCCAGCCGCTCCTGGGTCCTCAGGAGGAGGATGCACGGGCTGCAGCCTCAGGAGCCCCCTTGGGTTGGAATGGGCTCGCTGGCAGCGGGTTTGGGCTCCGGGTTCACCCCACGATGCCAGAGATGCAGAGGAGTGAGGTGGGGGTCTTGTTCAGGGCCTTCTAATTGGTAATGCAAAGCAGATGTAGCACTTACCCACCTGCCCTTGACTTTCAAAGGGTAGGAAAGGAACATCAGTAAAGAGCCTTGGCTGCAGACCCCATGTCCCTGAAAGGAGAAGCCTAAGGCTAACAGCGTGTCTTGATGTGACCAGAGCATAAGCCCACGAGCAGTGACACCATGCTTATTCGAGAGACTTTGCTTACCTCGAATGAATGGAACCAGACTGTAGCGTAGAAATGGCCAACGGGACAGGCTTGTGGCCGGAAGCCTGTGGGCGCTCTGCACAGGCTGGCTTCCCCGTGGCCTGCAGCCACGTGCCCAGACTCTGAGACGACAGAAGACGTAGTGTCCATCTCTCCTTGTAGAGTTGTCTCTTCCTTGTAGCGTCTGTCTCTCCCAGCAGAGCTTGTCTCCCTTGTAGAGCTGGCGTTTTGTGCAGACGTCAGCATGGTGTGGCGCTCACATTACGGCTTTCTGGCTTGATTTCAGGGGCCGCCCTCCCTTCCGTCTGACCCCAAGAAAGTCAGGGCAATGCTCTCAAGTCAGGCTGGCACCTTTGCCTCTGTGTGGGTGATGTCAAGAAATTGCCCGTGGTCCTGGCTGACCGTTGGAAGGGCCCAGCCCCAGCAGTAGGCTTCCTGCTGCAGTGAGGGCTCAGGGTCACCCTGCGTACGCACTGCCCATCTTAGCCTGCACACCAGCACCCTCCCCTGGTGGCGCAGAGAGTTAAGCACTGGCCGGCAGTTGAAGCCCACCAGCCAGGCCAGGAGACGAGGACGAGGCTTTGCTCTTGGAGTCGGGGCAGAGGGTCTGTGCCCGCGAGTCTGCTCTGCACCAGTGCCCTGGCCGCCCTCTCTCCATGTCGCCACACACGCGTGCACACATGAGGTGCGTGTCACGGACACGCTGCTCAGACGCCCCCCTGTGCCTGTGCCCCAGCAGAAGCCTGTCTGTGGGCGAGCAGTTCATGCGCGCCTCTGACAGTCTCGGGTAGCCATGTGCGTTTCACCTCTGACCAGGTTCCAAGAAGCCCGTCCCCGAATGCATCGTGAGTGTGGAGTCCATGGACATATTTCCTCTGGGCTGGTGTGAAACCAACGGGCACCCGCTCAGCGCTCCCCGCCGGGCACAAGGTACCCGTCTGTGTCTGGCTCAGAGGGCAGAGGGGCCTCGATGCTTGCTCCCCATCTCTCCGTGGAGGCACGTCCTGCAGTGGCGAGAGTGCAAGGTGGAAGCCAGAGCTTTGAGAAATCCATCACCAAGTCCCGTCCCCTCCAAAACCACTTCACGCGTGCGGTGCCGTACCTTCAGCTGGCAGGCCAGCCCGCACTGCGCACCGCCTGGAAGACAGGCCCGGCTTCTGCTTCTGCAGGGACACACACGAGCCACACGCACACATGCACTCGTATATGCGCACTTGCACACGTGCACACAGATGCAAGCAGATGCACGCACACAGACGCGCACACATGCACGGGTACACGTGCGCACACCCACATGCAGCCTGGGTGGTGCTGTGGGTGGCTGTGCTCCGTGCTCGGGCTGCCCGCTGTGAGCTGAGTGGACTGGGTGCCAACGCCCCTCCCCCCAGCAGTCAGACAGACGGTGGTGGGCTTGACACTGATGCATGTAACATACATACCCCTCTGTAGTTTGTCCCTTGACATTGTTTTTTAACTTTTAAAATTCTTTGTTTTCCAAGGTGTGTCTTCTTTAAACAGTTTTATTAGTGCTTATCCATGTATCATCCCATCCAGTAACTCAGTCGTATCAAGGAGAGTCGTACAATCCCTGCCATGCCGCCCGAGAGCATTTCCTTCTTCCTGTGCTCATCGTTGCGCGTGACGGTGTCTGTGTTCTTCCCACAGTGTGCAAGCAGAGGAAAGTCGCAGTGGTCCCGCCGGAGAAACAGTAAGTCACGCAGCAGGTGGCCCGTGTGGCAGTGTGTCCTCCTTTGCTCCTTCGCAGACAGAGCACAGCCCTCACTTCTGACGGTTGTGCACGTCCCCCTGTGCTTTCTCACAGCAGTTCTCAGACTCCGCTTCCTTTTTCTCGTGGAGCCTGAGGGCGATTGGCTAGAGGGGCGAGTAAGAGTTTCTATGCTGCCAATCAGGTTAGGATGCGTTCAGTCCAAAAAAATTTTTTTGTAGAAGACAGCCATCTGAATGAGAAAGGACCCTGCGGAGGGCAGTGGGTGTGTGTCTCACCAGAGAGCCCTGTGCAGCTCACCTTCACCGCAGCTGAGGGAAGCAGGACAGTGTGAGCTCACGGAGCTCCTGTGTGCATGCGCCTGGTGTAAACATCTAGGGTTTGGTCGCCAGATCGCTCCGCCTGCCTGGCACTTTGTGAGGAATGACACCCACCGCCGTGGAGGGAACCAGCCTGGAAGTGATCAGAAAGTCAGGCGCTCCGTTCAGCCACGTCCAGCCATGGTGGCCTGTAGGGCAGAGCAGGTTTCCCCAGCTGCCATCTGTTAGACACAGACAGCCTCAGCTTTCTCCCATGGGGCAGCTGCTGGGATTGAACCCCTGACCTTTCAGTTAGCAGCCACCAGGGCTCGGATTTCCCCTTCACTTATTTGTGAGGACTGATCCAAAGTTAGGAGGCATTCTTCAACATTTTTCAAGAAGGCTCTTTTCTAGCTGGAGTTGTCTAGAGAGCAATTCTCTGAGTTTTCATAACATCATTTGTCTTTAAATTTAAAATTAATGGAAGAAGAAAAGAAACCCTTTGTAAAAAAAAATACTATTCTGTTTGATGACTCTTAAAAAAAATGAATAGGCTTGTTTCCTGCTCATATGAATGAGAAAAAAGTTGCTTTGAACAAATCGTATCCCAGTACTGTCTGCAGGCTGTCTTATCAGCTCACCAGTCCTCGTACCTGGAGTGTTAAAACAATTGCTGCAAAAGTGGCCCAACCACAGGCAAGCTGAACTCAGTGAGCACTACACTACCCTGCAGCGTAGCTTTCCATGTGAGCTTTCTCCTTAGTTCTGACAGAGATGGACCCTCGCACCGTACTAACTGTAGCTGTTCTCTTCTCTTCTCTCCTCTCCCCTCTCCCCTCTCCCCTCTC